TTACTATTATTATTATTATTTTTGGTAATTATTATTTTGAAAAATCCCCAAAATTAAAGTATATGGCAACCATATTATATGGAAGTTGTAGGGTGCCTAACACCTTCCTCACGCTTAACTAACCCTCTGAGTCTAGTCAATTTCTACGTAGACCTTGGTGATTTGTCCCACTTCATTTGGATAGATGGCAACTCCATCTATTTTGGCACGTCAACACCGCCAAATATCAAATTCTAATCTATCTTTTAAAGAGTAGATGGCTTTCAGTAGTAGCAGAGTAGAAGGGTTTGTGAACAACAACTAACATAGTGAGCAGCAGCCAGCAGAGTGAGCAGCAGCCAACAAAGTGAGCAGCAACAACGCAGAAGGGTTTGTGAAGAGCAGAAGAACTCGTAAGCAACAGTAGAGCAAAGCAGATTCGTGAGCAACAGTAGAGCAAAGTAGATTCATGAGCAGTAGCGAGCAGAAGGGTTTGTGAAAAGCAGATCGTGAGCAACAGCAGAGCAGAAGGGTTCGTGAAGAGCAAAAGGACTTGTGAGCAGCAGCAAAGCAGAGCAGATTCGTGAGCAATAGTAGAGCAAAGTAGATTTGTGAGCAACAGCGAGCAGAAGGGTTTGTGAAGAGTAGATCGTGAGCAGCAACAAAGCAAAAGGGTTCGTGAAGAGCAAAGTAGATTCATGAGCAGCAACAGAGCAGATTCGTGAGCAACAAACCAGAGGCAGAAACTGAGATCTGAGAAGGTGAGAGTGAGAGTGATTAGAATGGAGAAATGAATTAGGGTTAAGGTTAAATTTAGGGGAATGAGTTCGGTTGGGTTTGGTTAAATTGGATTGGGTTGGGTTGGGTTAAGTTGGATTAGGTTTGGTTGGGTTGGGGAATAGTATTGGATAAGTTTAATTTTAATTGGTTTGGATTTAGGTTTAAATTTGAAGAGTAAATTAAATTTTAAATTTTTTTTTTGGCGGGGACTAGGGTCCTTGCGAGGCTCCACGGGGCGGGGAAAATTCCCTGCGAAATTTCACTCGAAGAAAATATCCCCCATCCTCACCCCACCCCCGTGGTGGGGATTTTCGTGGGGATCGTGGGAAATTGCCACCCCTAGGTGTGTCCCAGACGGCAATAAAGCCAGGCAATGGAGTCCCAAATGACAGTTAAGTTGGGGTAAAAAGAACAGCTTAATTGCTTTGATCCCAGAGTTTAAGGGTTTATATGCATCAATTAAAGTATAGGGGCTTAATGGTGCTTCTGGCGTTAATTCAGGGGCTTAACTTATGGTTTTGCCTTTTACCAGCACTGCTAACATGGTTGATTGATGGATGACGTTATCACTTATCCTAATTATATCCTTAAAGGCCTTTTCAACATAAACCACGTGGCTGACGTTCATGGCTGACATTGGTGGTTGACGTTGGTAGCTGACGTTGGTGACACTTCTTGATAGGCCTTTTCAACATTAATACTGAGGGGTTGTCTTTTTCAAACCTATTAACATAAAAAGGATTTTCAAAAATCATAATGAGAAATAGATTATAGGGTTTGCTAAAAATATAAGTATTGTTAATAGAGTAAGTGTTACATTTTGAGACAAAAAATAACCTCCAACTTTATTATTATCAAGAAGTTTTCTAAAATTAATATTGAGTTTGACTTTTTTATATTATTCAATTATTGTTTGCCAATATTTCTAACATTTTGAATTGCAAAGAACTTACGAAGATTGTTCTAGCTCAACACTACAACATTTCGATAAGGATAATTATATGTGTACTAACCAACTTCTTAAGATGGGAACAGCATTTTCTTTAACTTTTATTATTTTTAATAAATATCCATATTTTTTGGTTACATTTTACCTTACTTATATACTAGGGGTTTACTTTCTCAAACCACCCTATTGAACTCTATTTTATTGTACTAATATAATTTTGTCATTTTCTCTCATAAAAAAAAAAGAAAAAAATAAATAATAACTTTTTCTTTTTCAAAACATTAGTGTTACTCTTTTTATTTCAAATGTTTAAATAATAGTATGTTTGGGTTGAGGGAAAGGGAAGATCACTTTACCAATTAGATTGTAATATTAAAAAATATTATAATTTGATTAGTTAAAAAATCTTTCTCTCCACTCATGAACAACTTAGGTTGAAATCTGTCATTGATCTAATAACTCTTTAGAACAAAATTCACATGCTCTCAAAATCTCAAATTCAAGTTATTAGTAGTGATTAATTTTTATAATTATATACTAAAGTTACTTACGAGTCCCTATCTATGTAAGATTTGCGGTATTACATCTCTTTTTTTTTTTTTTTT